ACATTCACATTCACAGCGTATTAGACGCATTTATTATCATTACTTTTACCGGTTCTTTGTGGCAAGCTTTATGCGTGCGGTCGTGCGCTTGAGCACAAATTATGAGCTTTTGGCAATTTTTTTTTTATAATTATTGACAAAATTAGAATATAGTAAAAGGATTTTTTTGTGTGTGTGAAAGTTTTGGGTGGGCCTGTTGAAAAGTGGGGCCGTGCCTGAGCTACAGGACATCGTCTTTGAAAACATAACCTGCCCGAAAGAGAGAAAAAAAATTAATACGTCATTGTACCCAGCACTTCTGAAAATGCACTGAAAATGCACTTCCGAATGCGTCTCTGTCCCCAGCACATTTCAAACCAAACTGACGCCCATGATAACAAAGATAGATTTACAGGTGACACTGCAATGACTACCCTTTTAAATTGCTAATTTAACCCTTTACACTTTTTTTTTTTTTACATCAGCAGGGTTCACTTGGAATGCTCCGAATGCAATGGGCAAACACGGTCCTCAAGGGTCAATGCCCTCTGCCCTGCAGAGTTCAGCTTCATTTCATTTTTTTCTAAATGTAATAAATTTTCAGTGAAATCAATTCTGATTTAAAATAGTAATATGTTAACAAACTAACCCACAGTACCTTTTATCATGCAGATGATTTGTATGAATTTATGATCACAAGCTTGGATGTGTTCTGTCAGCTTGAGGAAGGTAAAGTAAGTGGGGAACTGAAAAAAAAAAAAACGAGTTGGCTTTATAGCAGTCTCATTTCAGTAAACTGCTGGTTAGGTATGAAATATGCCACATGGTGTCCGTAAGAGACTTGGTGAAAATATGTTGGAAATTTGAGAGTAACCTGTTTATTTGTCACCCCAACAACTCAGTTATTAACAAGGATTGAATGGTTGTACTTAGTTGTGGGTGTATTAGTGTGTGGTTTTCTATAGAAACAGAAAATGCAGAGTAAATATTCTAACATTAAATATTAGAGACAACACACTGACAACATACATTATTATACTTCATCTCATTAAACAACAAATTAAACCCCATGTAGCCTACTATTTAAATCGATTGCTGGACGTCGTAATGTTATTGTAGCATAAATCTGATTTAGCATTTTATTAGCAACCCCCACCCCACCTGTTCCACCCACTTTTTAAAACAAAGTTACGTCACTGATTTTTATGTTTATATGTTTACTTAAATGTTATATGGTGTTTTACCAAAGTGTCTAATCATTTTTACAGATAAATTGCTTTAATACCAATTACCAAGGTGACCTGTAAAATACTTCTGCTGTCAGGAAAGCCAAATCAAGTTCTTATACCTGTCCTGACCTGAGCACAAGCTCTCATTCTAATCCTGAAAGCCTTAAATAACATATTTAAATACTTTAAGTCATTAAATTCCTTTAAATTGATAATATCACATGTATACCTAATTACAGTTTGTCTGAGTGCCCAATTTCAGAACAAAAAGGTTTGAAAAAGCGCCCCCTGCTTGCTATAGCTGTAAATGTAAGCACAACAAAAGCTCACGTTGTTTTCCAAAGACAGATATTGATTACAGTGGTCTGTATCTTAAACCTGCAGTGATCATAAACCTGCATTGGTTACCTCCACTGTAACTGATTTCCCCACACACGTTAATGCTTTGATGTTAAAGCTAGAATGTCCACTAATGTGTTTATTTACAAAAAGGCATGAGTGGAGAAAAACAAGTTAATTTTATTTTTATCTAAATTGTCATAAAATTAATTGTCATAAAAAAAATTAATTGTCATAAAACTGCTATTTAAATATATTATTCATATAGGTTATACAAAAAACCTGAATAAGCTGATCTATAGAATGTAAACTGGTGGTAGCCTAGTCTATGAAAGGTACACCCCTCTAAGCTCACACAAATGGTTAGACCCAAGTCTTCAGCAGCCAATGACACGGACCCGTTCATACTGATTTTTAACGCGTATTTCACGCGTATTTTACGTGTATTTTACACGTGAAATACGCGTGAAATACGCGTGACATAATCAACGCGTATTTCACGCGTAAAATACACGTATTTTACGCGTGAAATACGCGTGAAATACGCGTTAAAATTCGCGTGTTTTTGGCCCTAACGGCTTTCCATAGTCACGGTACTGATCCACTTGTCCGTGCAACACTTCAGTCGCGCCGCGCTCCGCTTTATTCCTATGGGTGACGTCACGCGACTTTAACGCGCCCGCAAAGCATCCCGGGAAGGCGGCGCTTCATTTGAAAAAATGCTGCGCGTCCAAAAGCTGGCCGATGCCCAGCTTTATGCAAATGAATCCGTCAAACGCGAAGCGTCTATCCAATACACAAGTTTATGAGCCGTTTCCGCTCTACATCCTAAACTCCTCCCGTCGATGCAACCCACTTCCGTTCTGGCGGTCTGGGTTTGTTTTGCTAGCTAGCTTCGACAAAGCGCTGATATCGCAGTGACATAACAATTACAACATGAAGAAAGGTGGTTCGGGAACGATGTGTGTGATAGTTGGTTGTAAACACTCGAGAAAGCACCTGAACGAGTGGTTAGACTTACCCCTTTTCCACCAAAAACGAACTGGTTCGGAACTGGTGCTGGTTCAAAATTGGTTCGGAGTTGGTTCAACTTGCGAACCTTCTCAGAACCTGTTTGTTTTTCCACCATAGAGCGCCCAGTGAACGACGTCGTTACGTCACTGTGTACGTCGCCATACATCTTAGCTAGAAACGCTTGCAAGTACAACATTACTTTGGGATTATCTCTAACTCGTGAACCAAGAAGGCTTTAAAAACAATTGAAATATGTAAGTCTTTTAATCTTTTCCTTTGATATGTAATCTTTTCTGATTAGTTATGTACTCCTGTCTTGTGTATTTTTTTTCTTTCCATTTATTTGTTCTATATTGTGACTGTTTTCTCCTTTGTTTAGGCTACATAACGTTTTCAATAAAAAAAATTGATAAAAAAAAACTAGAAACGCTTGCGCCAACTTCAAGCATAACAATTACAATGGCAACTACAACTACATCGTGTTTCTGCAAATGTTTCTCCTGGCTTTGCAATCCTATATTATGTCAGAAAATATATTATCTAAACCCGCCCCCAGCCCCCGACGTAAGCATGACGTGGTAAAAGAACGGTTCTAGTCCAGCAAAGAGTTGGTGCCGCTTTGGAACCAGTTTTCCTGGCCGAGAACCGGTTCTTTGGCTGTCGAAACACAAAGAACCGGTTCGCGCGCAGGCACCGGCTCCGAACCGGCTCTCAAAATGCGTTGGTGGAAAAGGGGTAATAGAGAGTTCTACGACCGCAAACCAGCTACGAAGAGGTCCATGCGCTCCATTGTTTACACACAAACACACTCACACAGTATCGCGCCCGCGCCTCTCTCTCACACACAGTTCGATCGCCTAATTATTATCATCATGGCTCACACACACACACACACACACACACTTTGCACTCTAGCTAAGAAGCCTATGATATAGTTCGGATCGTCAGGAGGACATTCACTGACAGCGCGTTCTCTTTTGTCTTGTCGCGCATGAGTGGTTAAAGCATTTGCGTGAATAAGAGAATGGTCATAACCCTAGCAAAAGGATGACAGAAAGAACAGATGTTGCGTTTGCATTAAATATTTTAACACGTTAAAGCTGGACAAAAATGAATCGGGAAAATATTTTTCTCACGGCCGCACGCCGGAGATCCGGCACGGTGGCGAAAAGTGATTGCATTATTTATTGCAATAAGTAGAGGCTTCAATCGTTTTGTTGTAAGTAGAATAGGCTACTGCATTTTAAGGGGTTAGTTTCGACATTTAAAGGTATTTTAACCGGTAAAATGGTTGGTTGGTACACAGCAGGTAAAACAATGCAGAGTCATAAGGATAATTGCAAAAGAGATCATGTCTTTATTTATAGCTCAGCAGTAAGTCATGTTATAGGTTACAGTCCGTTTTCCAAATACAAACACGTATTCCATCCGCAACAACATGCTTCTTTTATTTCCTATAATCATGTAAATGTCTTCCCTGATTAAGCTATAAACTGCAAACACTTATTTAGCCACAATTGTTGTTATTATGTTAAAAGAAACATTAAAGTAACACACAGATACATTTGCTATTACCACGGACATAAACTGATAGTTATTTGCACGTTATGTCTGTTTTATCTAGCTGTGTATGACATGACACAACCGACTTTGTTGCTGTGCAGATATTGATATGCCTCGACGGCTTTCAGATTGTCCAATTGCTTTTCCATCTATTGCCATGGATTGCACGAAGTAGGAGCAAATCTCGCTGTACGTTATGCTGGGCCACGTCGTCATGTTAGTGTTCTGCACTGAATTCGGGTGGGGGATAGTAACGCCATCTCCAGTCGTGGAACCGTCGCTGTGTACACCGGCAGACGCTGTGTGCAAACCTCTTCCGGCGGAAATGAAGTGCATTTAAGTAGAGTTATGGCGGCGCCCATGATTTGGCGCGTAAACTTGTGTATAGAAGCAGAGCATATGTAGACGGGGGGAAGTCTCTCGCAGGTCCTCTGTTCTAGACTGGCCGCTGGCTCAAAACCACGCCCATAGCGGCAAACTTGAGGAACGCCCATCAAAGTACAAATTTGGGGAGGCGTCGCGACACCACGCTTCAGTCGTGTCGCACAAGTGGATCAGTACCGTGAGAAACGGGCAGATAGGAGAGCATACATGCATTATCTGTCCATTCAGCATAGTCTCATTTTCAATTCAATTAAATTTTTATTTATATAGCGCCATTTCAACAACCAGAGAGGAGCACAAAGCGCTTTCCATAAAAAATTTAATTTTGAATTTTTTAAATTTAATTGCACCTTTATGATTAAATTCAATATTCAAACTGACTGTAATTCATAAATGCAGTAACAGAAAATTACTGTTGAATAAATCCTGCTCCCTGAAAAAAGGATCTCACTCAAAAGAAACCAGACTTTACCTAAACAGAAATTTCATACGTTTTTATTTATTTTTATTTCAATATAACTTTTTGGTTAACTGAACCAATATTATATAACATTAAGATTATAAATCATATATTATATTTATGCTTTTTCTTTCAAAATGGCAAAATGTGATTGACAAAATGGTACTTGAAATCATGGATTTTATTCTCCCACTGTGATTGCTTAGTAACAATCCCCGAAACTTGTACCTAACACCCATTTTAAGTGCTGTGAGTAAAATAATATTGTCCACTGTAATGTGTGACGTCATGCAAAATGTCAAGCGCGCGAAATCAACAACAGTCTTGCCGCAGTCAACAAAAAAAGCAATGAATGTACAAATGCATTTAAGAGTGCTTATCCACAGAAAAGAAAATTTAAGTTCAGTAAAATCACCTATTTGGGAACTACATAAATTCTTTTTAAATTACACTGGTTTCACTTTCAAAAGTGAATCAAGCATAAATATTCTTTTTAAATGTATCAAACACTTTCACTTTGTTAGAGACAAAGGGACAATTATTCTCCAACAATGTCACATCCTTCAAAAAAAAAAAGAAAGAAATTGGTTTAACCCCGCAGCAAACTTCCTGAGTGAAGCAAAACAAAAAACAGGATGTCAAAAACTCATCCCAACAACTTTTCTTTCAATTAAGTGCTCTGGCTCGAAGTGCATTCGGCATTAACATAAGCATTACCATTAGCATTCTCTTTATGGCCGTGGTTGGAACCCGAGAAACAGTCCTCCGAATGAAAGTGCACAGAGATCTGGTTGTAGCAAAGCAGGGCCAGCTGCCTCTCTTCCGGGCTGTAGTCCAGCGAGTGTGGGTGCACTTGAAGGATGTGTCTCTTAATGGTGCTGACCTTTAACGTGGCGAGCGTAGCGCCACACACCATGCAGATCAAGCCATGCCTACTGCAGTCGTAATCCATCAGGAAGTCCATCTTCCAGCGGGCCTGGTAATTGCGCCGCTGGTCCTTCCCCGGGTAGTGCCTGTGCCGCCCAGTCGTCTGTGTTGATGGTGTGGTATTTGTGCTATTACTGTCTTCTGTTTCACCTCCTTGCTCTGTGGTTTTCACAGGCGACACCTGCGTGTCAACAGCTGTGTTTGTAGTGACAGGGCCACTTTTTGGGTCTTCGGTGCCAAACAAAAGGGAAAAAAAGATAAACATTATTGATTTTAAACAAGATGTTTGATTTATAAAATGATTTTCCTTTCACAATGCAAAGCTAACACTTAGTTCATTCATAAACAGTAACATACTGTCATCAGAACCATAAGCAATTTTACACTTTTCTTAACCAGTTTACGCTACGCTAGTCAGCTGTTTGCTTTCTAAGCACAGGCTAACTGAAAACACAAGGAAAGAGAGTGCAATAAAAGTCTTATTTAAAGGACATTTATGAACATTTTCATTATTAAGTAGAGTACATCATGAATATCTTTACATCCTTAAAACAAGATAAATGTACCTGCGAAGATAAATAATCTTTAGTTTACAAGCTGTTAGCTTAAGCAGTCTACATGAAAGCACAAGATAAATGATTATTTTTAGCTGCTAGAATATAATGTAGTAGGCGTAGCCTATGTCATTTAAATTAAAAGACATGATTAAGTATATTAAATATATTTACATTTAAAATGAGATAAATTTGCCCGAGAAGCTAAATAATCTTTAGTTTTCAAGCTGTTAGCTTAGGCTAACTGTAAGCACTAGGAAAGAGATGTTTCATTTGTTTTTAGCTTATGGCATAGTATAATGTGATATATGTAATATGTAATTTAAACATATCTTCATGATCAAGTACATCTTGAATATCTCTACATCCTTAAAACAAGATAGGCCTACACCAGTTTAGTTTACAAGCTGTTAGCTTGCTAAGAAAAGGCTAAAAAAAAAGCACAAGATAAATTAGCAACTGGAATATAATGTTTTAATATAAAATATATCTTGTATATATCTTGTATATCCTAATATATATAACATAATATACATCTTGAATATCTTTACATCCTTAAAACAAGATACACCAGTTTAGTTTCTGAGCTGTTAGCTTGCTAAGCAAATGATAGCACAAGATAAATGACTATTTTTAGCTTCTGGAATATAATGTAGTATGTCATTTAAAAGACATTAATGATCATATTTTTGTGATCAAGTTTATTAAATATATATTGACATGCTTAAAACTAGATAAATTTGCCTGAGATGCTAAAAATCTTTAGTTATCCAGCTGTTAGCTTGCTAAGCGAAGGCTAACTGAAAGCAGATGTGGTTTTAGCCTATAACACACAGTATAATGTGATATGTAATATGTAATTTAAAGGACATTGATGAACATATTTTTATGACCAAGCACATCTTGAATATCTCTACATCCTTAAAACAAGTTAAATTTAATTCAGAAGCTAAATATCCTTTAGTTTTCAGAGAATCCATGTTTCTTCTCAGATAAAGTAATCGTACTTTAAAGATGTTTTATGGGAGAAGAAGACAAAACTGATGTTTTGGTTCTAACTTCTGGGCCCGTATTCATAAAGATCCTAAGAATCCTCTCAGAAAACTCTTAATTTAGTTTAAAAACTTTTACGTAGGAGTCTTAGCTTAAGAGCAATTCGGGACTGATCTGAGAGCAACTCTGAGTAAGGAAAAGACAAAAACGTTCATCTTAGTGAGGAGGCGGGGTTGACCCCGTTGCTATGTATGACACAATCTTTTGAAGACTGTGATTGGTTGGTTGTCCAAGAAGGAAAAAAAGAGTGATTTTAAGTATAGGGTCTAAGCCTTCACTTTGAAATTACATGCGTAATTTTTCCTATTTGACCTCTCTCTCTCTCACACACACACACACACACACACACACACACATTATATATGTGTATATAATCCTTTTTTTTATTTCCTATAAGGTATTTGATTGGCTTAGAATGATAAAAATTGTTCCACTCTTTTTCAATTACACTGATTGCTGGCATGTCTATATTAGTGGTGGTTTGAATGTTGGTTTTAATGTAATGTAACAACCATGGAATCAAAACCAAGAAGGACGAGAAAGCCCGACTGGACAGAGGAACAGTGTTTACGGTTAGCCCAGTTAGTGGATGAACACAAGGCCATCCTTAAAGGAAAATTCGGGCCGGATGTCAATCTATAGCGTCTTATTAACTCACTGTCATCTATTGTCTGCAACACATTTCTTCTCCCTCTTCGTCTTTCTGCCATTTTCTCCTCTGCTAAAGAAACTCTTAAGCCTCTTAAAAGTCCTCGTCCGTACTCCTAACAACTTTGACCTTAAGACCTCTTTTAAGGGTTAAGATACTTTCTGAATTACTTTTTTCTTTACTAGGATTTTTTCTTTAATTTTAAGAGTAAACGCCCACATTTCTAAGAATTTTGTCACTAGGAGCGACTCTTTGCATTAAGATTCTTTATGAATATGGGCCCTGATGTTTATTTCTTTTAATACAAAATGATGGTCAATATGGCATTTAATTTGATAGTTGGTTTTTGGTCTATTTTTCCTCTACATCTGATGTGTCTACAGTTGTCTGCGCTTACCATGTCCTTTCAGCGTGGCCGTGTCTATGCTCTCCTCCTTCGTCCAGGCGCTGACCACAGCATCTCTCTCACCCCGGCTGAGGCCGCTTGTCTCTGGATGGCACTCCTGGATGTGCTTGCGGAAGTTGCTGACTCTCGGCACAGGCAGGTGTTCAGAACAAACCATGCAGTAGCAGAGCGGGTTATCCGGAGGACCGTACGCCACCAAATAATCCAGGCGGAGACGCCAGGGGCTGCCGTATTTCAGTCTTCTCTTTCGGGGATAATAAGGTAGAGACTGTGATCTCTGACCAGTGTCTGGTGGATTCTCATCTCCTCTTGTGTAACTCCCTAAGTTTCCCTGAATGGGATCCACGTTCAGAGGGAAGAAGGAGGCTGAACCATCTACGTTTATTTCTTTGGTAAGTGGTTCTGATTTGATTTGAGGTTGTAAAGAGTGCGATTCTGCATGACAAAAGCAAAGAAATGCAAAAAGACATGTATTCAATTTAAGTGATGTTTTTTTAAGTAAACAGATTTCACAGAAGCATGTCGAATAGGCTATCTGACCAAATCCTCAAACTTTATTTTGTTTTGCTTTTTTACCATGGTTTACAAAAGGGATATCTGGAAGCAATCTTTGTTAAAGACTGTAAAAAAAACATTTAGCCAAAGACGATAGGACATTTGACCACAATTTATGTATATTTACAGAAGACCCAAGATTCCAAATAGTTTTTTATTTTTAAAAAAGTATTTTATTTTATTTAATTAACCTGTTATCCCAAATTGTTTAATTTGATAACAGATTTATCTATATACAATATCTATCTATCTATCTATCTATCTATCTATCTATCTATCTATCTATATATCTATATATCTATATATCTATATATACAGTAGTATATACTGTATATATAGTATATATATATATATTGCATTTTATTCAATATCTATAATACCACATTTATCTGGTCCTCTGTTTAATTGGATTTTACAGTTAAACACCTTGTGTATGCAAAGAATCCACAACATTTTAGGAATATTTTTAACCTATTATTTACAATAGTATTCAGTTAGTATATTTAGTATACAAACTCTTTTTAATTCCTCTGTGTAGTTTTGTCTCTTACCCTCACCGTGCATCTTGGCCCAGGTCTGCAAGATGGAGTGCTTTTCCTCAGCGGTGTACAGCAGAGAGTTGGGGTGCAGATCCAGCATGTGACTCTTGATGTGATCCAGGTGCAGAGAAGGCAACAGACAGCTGCAAACCATGCATACTAGACGGCCCTCCTCCGCCTGGTACTCCATCAGGAACTCCTGGCGGAACCAGGCGTGCAGCGAGTCGTTTAGGTATCGCTCCATCACCTGAGCTGTGGGTCCTTCGAGCTCCTGGACGGGGGAGGCTGGAGGGGATGGTGTGACCCTGCTAAACTCAGACTGGGCCTGAGGAACTGGAGAGACGGCACCACCAGGCTTGCCTAGAATGACACGAAGAATGGTTTAAACATAATCTTAAAGTCCCCCTGTTGTGAAAATCGAGCTTATAATGTTGTTTATATGTCTATGTGGGGATTTTAATATGCTCAACAATAAGTCGACACCATTGCTGAGTATTTTCTCTTTAAAACTGCAGTGAACCAAAGACAATCTCAAAATGCGGTTTGAAATCGCTGGTGTTTCTGACGTCACAAACTACCTTGTAACCAATCACGTCAATGAGTGGATCTCTGAGCTGGTGTGAGTGAGTGGAGGCGGGGCTCATTTGCATGCATATACTAAATTAAGCAATAAACTAAATTCTAAGTTCTGCATATACTAAATGAAGCAAGGGTGTAGAGCTTGCGCTTAAATATGTCATTTTGGTGATCAGAGATCAGTGTAAAATAATATTAAAATAATAATAGTAATAATAAAAAAATATGCCTTTCTCACATTCAAAGCACAATACAATAAAAAAGAAAACATCTCAAAAAGAGATAAACAAATAGTAATTATAAAATAAATGAATCTAAATTAAATGTTATGAAATAAAAAAAGAAATGTTTAAGAAAAAAAAAGTTGCATTTTTAGCTTCAGATTGAGGTTTTTGCTTTGTGACATTTAATTACATTCAATCACATTTCTCACATCCGGATGTTTAAGCATTTTAGTTTTTAATCCTCATTAAATTCTCATCAAATTCTCATCACAGAAATGAAAATGATCCTGCCCAGACAAAGTGATTTTTATTTAATTACATTTTTACCATGATGTATAAACTAAATTCTAGAAAAATATAAAGTTACACACACACACACACACACACACGTAATATAATACATATTATGTAATTTAATGTAATATATATATTTCTAGAATTCTTTAATATGATTGTTTCTAATATTTATAATTAATATTTAATATAAAACCACATTGAATTATATAGTTATTATAGTATTTTCGTTACCTGAAACAAAAATTTAAACTTCATTTTCAACATTTATCATTTTCATTTAGTTTAACTTGATGTACTAAAATAACTAAAGCTCAAAACTGAAATAAAAAAATCATAAAAACTACATACATATGACATAAAAATGTCTAAATAATTAATTTAATTTGAAATAAAATTAAAATTAAACCAGAAAATATAAAAATAAAAACTAATTCATAATATTAATAAAAACAATATGTGTATCTCAAATGATACTAAAATAACACTGCATTGTCATGAAAAACATATGGAAAATTATATAATTATGTAATATAACATAATACAATATAATTATATAATTTATAATAATAAATATACAAATATATAAATAAATTTGTAATGTTTCTAAAAAAAACTATTTTTCTTCAAGCTAAATTATAATTGTAATATTATATCTTATTATTGATATATCAATTATTGTTTTTTATTATTTATTGATTTTATTATTATTGATTTTTCTGAGGTTTCCATGTTATTCAGGCTTTACAAAAACATACAGAAGCACAAAGAATTATTAGCACAGAAACAGACCTGTGGAGTGCCTGTCGACATCCAAAATCTCCTCTGACTCTGGAGGAACATCTGGATCGGGGCATAACGGCCTCTGGCTGTCGTCCCGACTCAAATGACTCTCCCATCCCGACCTGATCACATCCTTATCGGACTCGGTCCACAGCAGGGAGTACGGATGCCTCTGTTTGATGTGTCTCTTGATGGTGCTTAACTTCAGGGTTGCCAGTGAACTGCCACACACCATGCAGATCATCCCCTGTCTCTGTGGGTCGAAGTCCATGAGGTACTCGCTGCGCCAGTACTCGTGGTAATAGCGCCGATGGTCTCGGCCGGGCGCGAGCTTAAATGGAGGGGGTTCCTGCGTAGATGGTCCTGGGATGGGGGACAGAAGGAAAGGGGTGTCTGTATTCTCAGTGACACACCAGTAACTGGTGCCTGGAGAGCAAACAGAGGTGACTGGAGCTTCCTGGCTATCATGAGATGTGAGACCATTGGTCACGTCCTCTTGACCTGGGGAGGACACAAAAAGAGAGAGTTATTGATGAATTGTAAGGTAATATTAAATATGATCATGGGAAAATATGACATTGTTTTCAATTACAGCAGGGAAATGTAAAATAAATATTAATACTCGTAATGATGGAGATTAATATTAAAGTGAAAATATCTTTTCACCAGCCCGCATTTTGTGCATAAACATTAATAAACGTATCTGTCTATTCAGTAAATTCAGAACATTCCATATGTTGTATTGGACATAAATATTTATTTATTATTACTTAAATAGTCATATATTTAGTGTGTCTGTTTGTATGGTTTTGCTAAATAAAAATAAATAAATAGGACTGTTGCTAAAAGGTTAAAAGTCATTCTCAAATGTTGCAACTGAAGAGAAGCAACAACAACAACAAAAAAATTAGACAAATATGAAAGGTTTTTTTTATTGTAAAATATACTAAAAATGTTGTCATCATGAATATAAAATGCCTATTTAAGAGATTTTGCATTAAATCTGTCAGCACATATTTAAATTATTATTTTTAGTAGTATTTTAATTTTAATATTATTGCTGATAGGTGGAAAATTAGCAGGATAACAAAATTAGTAGCTACTTATAGGAAAATATGATGATATCATATATCATCATGATGAATATTAAATCAATATTAAAGCCAATGTTGTGCATAAACCTACAAATAATCGGTCAGCATATATTAAAATGATTATAATGTATTTATTATGATTGCTGTTGTTATTAATATTACTACTAATAATCATAATAATAGTATAAATACTTGTAATACTTATAGTAATACTTGTTGCTGAAAATATTCAAATTATGTTTCATGTAAGACAAATATTAAAGCGAATAATAATTTAGCATAATTTTATAATAATTGTAAATGAATTTTAAAGTGAAAATGTGTTATTTCCTCACTCCGCAGGCCTTATTTTGAGCACAACCAGGGGGCGGCGGCGTGGTTGCAGTACCGCTGTATTTCCGCTAGATGGTGACAGCGCATCGCGGACTCATTTGCAGCATGGTTATTTTGCCTTTGTTTATAGTGGAGCCCGAAAGATTAGGGGCCATGCCTCTGCCTGCTATTGTTCGTCACGGGTTTTAACGCTTCAAAACATAAGCGCTGTCGATCTAATGGTCAAACTTCAATGCTTAACACAACATTTACCTGCTGAGAGATCCCCCAAGTGTCCCCGCTGCGCTGTCGCCTCCTCTTCCTCAGCTTTTATTATTAATGAGCGAGATTCTGTCTGCTCAGCTTTGTGCACCGACTCTTTGGACTCCGCTTCATCCATCCCTGTGTTGTGTTATTTTAACGTACAGGTTTCGCTTCTTTGTACGTAGAAATGTCACAACCGGAGGACTTCGTAGATGCATTCGTCGGGTGGTTGACTAAATATCTGAAACGCGCACTCGCCCATTACAGTGTGTGCAGTGTCTGTCTCTGCACTGGAGCCTCACCGCTGTTTGCTTTTTGCTTTAAGTAAACTTAACTTTGCGTGACGATACACGTCGCGTTTAGATCGAAGTTGGAGGAAAGATCTGTCAAATGGTCGGTGACTTTAGGCGGTCTCCTGATTGTATTTAGATGTTCTGCTTGTCTTCAGGGTGGAGAGCCGAGCTAGGGGCCCCTGGGGCTCCTTTAGGGGCTCCTGGGTAAATTTAAAGAGACAGTAGCGGCTATTATGTAGTGACGGGTGCATCACGGGGGCCCATATTTGTTTTGTTTTATCTTAATATTACATTTTACACCAAATTGTAAACAAAGTTAGGTATTTTGTACACACAATCTAATGTTTAATTAATTATAATTATAATAATATTAATCATAAAATGGGATAAAATAGACGATATTTTCTTTTCTAAATATGCCTAGTAGGCCTACATTATTAACAGACAGACTTTTGGAAAATACAGTTATTCTACATGAAATGACAGTGTAATGTCATTTATATGTTTCTTGATCTTTTTTCCCCCCATATATCAGTGTACATTAAACAATGAATTTTTTTTACTTTATATAAACAGTTTTCATACCTAAACTGAAAACCCTTAAAGATATGTAATTTAATGCTATTTTATTTAGCAATGCAATGTTTATATATATATATATATATATATATATATATATATATATATATATATATATATATATATATATATATATATATTAGCAAATATATGTATATATATATATATATATATATATATATTAGCAAATAAAAAAATAGGCTGCGTCATCTGCACCTGATTCATATTTTCTTTTCTGTAAATGCAAACGTAATTGTTTTTAGGGAGTGAGGGACGCTACTGCTTTAAGACTCTATCCGCACATGCTGTAAAAGCTCCTACATCCTGGTACTTTCAGCGTTGTTAAGGCACCGACCGATCGAAAGAAAGGTCCAACGGGAAGAGACTGCAGTGTCCTGAGACCGAGCTTAAAGAAAGTTATGTGTCACAACCAGGTAAAACAAACGCATGCTTCACGCATTCGTTGTTGTCTTCTTGTCGCCGGATGCGTTTACTATAATGACTCGACAGTCCACGCGCAGACAGACAGACAGACAGCAGCTCGTGAGATAGGCAGATAGGGAAGACAACATTGTCTCTGTCATACACTGGAAATAGAGACAGCGTGCTCATTAAAATCAATCCAGTGTTTATAGGATTCCTTTTAATATGATTTTTGAAAAAATATTTACCTTTTTGAACAAATAAATACGTAATGTGACATCAAAACGAGAGTTGGGAAGGGACTCGCAACAGAAATCATCAGCCTGTGATTGTGAGACAAGATTTAAAGTGACAGCAACATTTATGTCCCCTATTTGAGCTTTGTTTGAGTTTAGTTAAAGGACCAATGAGGACAGTCATTAATTACTCAAACAATGAAGTCATTCCAAACCTGTAAGACTTTCGTTCATCTTCAGTACACAAATTAAGATATTTTGATCAAACCTGAGAGTTTTCTGTTCCTCTGTTGACAGCAATTACCTCTTTGACGCTTCAAAAAGTTCATAGACTAATCCATATGAATTGAGCAGTTTAGTCCACATTTTCTGAAGAGACATGATCACTTTATACACTGAACAGATTTAATTTATGCTTCTATTCACATATAAACATTAATAAATTCACACATCAGTTTTGGTAAACGGAAGCTCAAGCATGTTCGATTGACGTGCGAGAACCAATGAGTGTTCATTCTCGTGTTACGCTGTACGTTTGAGCTTCTGCAAGAACCAATGAGGTTCAATCTCGTGTTACGCAGCATGTTTGAGCTTCTGCAAGAACCAATGAGGTTCAATCTCGTGTTACGCAGCATGTTTGAGCTTCTGCAAGAACCAATGAGGTTCAATCTCGTGTTAAGCAGCACGTTTGAGCTTCAGCAAGAACCAATTAGGTTCATTTTTGTTACGCAGCACGTTTGAGCTTCAGCAAGAACCAATGAGGTTCATTCCCATGTTACGCAGCACGTTTGAGCTTCAGCAAGAACCAATGAGGTTCATTCCCATGTTACGCAGCACGTTTGAGCTTCAGCAAGAACCAATTAGGTTCATTTTTGTTACGCAGCACGTTTGAGCTTCAGCAAGAACCAATGAGGTTCATTCTCGTGTTACTTAGCACGTTTGAGCTTCAGCAAGAACCAATGCTTCGTTTGTGTTCAGAAGATGAACGAAAGTCTTACGGGTTTGGAATGACACGAGGGTGAGTAATTAATGACAATTTTCATTTTTGGATTAACTAACCATTTAAGTAATCCTTTACTACACATTAGCTTATTTATATTCTTTCAATTGATCCTTTTATATGAATAGTTTCATAAAAATTAAAATTGGGCATTGTTTACTCATGCTCATGTTGTTCAAAACTTGTAAGATTTTCTCTTTTCCTTGGATGACAGAAAAAAAAAATATTTGGCAGAAAGTGCAGGCCGGTCTTTCCAAAACAGTGAACGTAAATGCTATCAAGCTCCAAAAGTGCACCAAAACAGTAGTCCAGAAGACGTTTGAATCTATGAAGAACAAACTGAAATTTAAGTATTTGATGAAAATCTTCTTTGTCATAGTTCTTAAATCCTAAACTTGTTGTTTGTGCACTCAAAATGACTCAAGATTACTGGCGTCCAATGTCATTGTTTCTCATGTGTATCACAGTTTGAAAGTTTAAAGTTTGTAATCTTGCTGTACTATTTTTTTTTTTTCTTCTAAAGTGATCTGCTGATTCATCTGCAATAACTGAGGCCGGTAGGAATAAATACTTTATAAAGGTAAGCTTCCAGAAATAAACGAGGAGTAGTTTTGTCAGTAGCTGCTTCACAAAATGTCATGCAATAGTGCACTTCGCAAATCATATGCAGATACTTGTAATATGTTATCAACCGCTCAGAATAAAACACCAAACAAACTTTGGTAAATTACTTGTGAGCTCCATGTGTGACACTGATATTTACATTTATTCATAGTTACTAGGGGTGGAACGGTACATGTATTCGTATCGAACCGAAACGGTACGGGCGTCACGGTTCGGTGCACGAATTTACACGGAGAATACACGGAATAAAAATAAATAAAACTCGCGTGCAAATTAATTAATGTAATGCGGAACTACTGTTAGATACGCGGGTTCTTTAGGGACACATAATCTGTACCATCGGCTTAGCTCTGAACGCGCGTTCACTTCAAACGTTGGCTTTATACGCGCGTCCTATTCGCTTTGGACTAGCGTCGAACTAGACGCGAATTTGACGCTCTATTCGTGTTTGGTGTGACCGCATAATGAAGGCTGCGATGTCAAGATTGCAATGCTGGACTGTGTGTGTGTGTGTGAGAGAGAGGCGAGATCGAACTGTGTGTGTGTGTGTGAGAGAGAGAGAGAGAGAGAGAGAGAGAGAGAGAGAGAGAGAGAGAGAGAGAGAGAGAGAGAGAGAGAGAGAGAGAGAGAGAGAGAGAGAGAGAGAGAGAGAGAGAGAGAGAGAGAGAGAGAGAGAGAGAGAGAGAGAGAGAGAGAGAGAGAGGGCGCGCGACCGAACAGTGGAAACATAAAAAAACATACTCCGTAATTTTGTTCATACAGATCATTAAACCTGCAAAGTGTTTACTTATATTTGTGTACACTCGCAATAAAACACAACATTGTGCACACTGTAAACTCTTGTCAAACTGTAATCTAACTGTCACTCAACCAAAATCACACACACACACACACTCACACTCACACACACACACACTGTTTTAAAAGAAAAACTTATTTATCCGACTCCATTTCAAAACAGTCTGTGGGTCCCATCTTTTGGACGTTCATCATATTGCATTGGTTTTCATTTCCTGTCCTCGGAGCGCTAATCTTACACATTCTACATTGATTAAAAAAGAAAATCGAATATGTTTTTAATGGTAGTATTATTTTAACAGAAATAAATTATTTATAATTCAGATGAGAATAATGTTACATTGTTAATTAATAATGTTAATTAAAATTAGGGAAAACAAATATATTGATCTGAAATATAGCAAATTAATTTTAAATTAATTCAGGTACAATTACCAAACATATCGCAAGGTCTTTTTGTCTTTTCATTAATTTAATTAATAAACGAATTATATAAAACTATTGTCAGTGCACTACAAATAAACTGGTTCTATGCCTTTATATAATAAAACATTTTTGTTTTGCTTTTCCCTCCATTGTACCGAAATCGTACCGAACCGTGATGTCTGAACCGAGGTATGAACCGAACCGTGACTTCTGTGTACCGTTCCACCCCTAATAGTTACTCATATTTGCATATGTTTTTATAAAAAGCAACTTCCAAGCAGTTCTAAAGTATGATTCCTCCTCACGGTAACATAAAAAATGCTGCAATACAAAATCGCAAAGTTGGCTTGAAAAGCACAAAGTACCAAGATGGAGGTAAAAAAAATCGACCATTAAATGCTGTAATGGTTGGGAAACAAGTTCCAGTTGTCTTCAGATATTTCTTGACTAAAAAAAGTGACAAAAAGTATTGAATAAAGTTTCTTAAAATTTGTCCCAACTTTTTCTGAAGCATATATCTAAATTTAATTGCTTTAATGTCAATGCTTGAAACTTAAGGCAGTGCTTGTCTGATGTTCCTTATATATTCGTATCAGGATTGCAGAGTCAGACACAGCATGCGGGGCACATTCCCCCGGGGCCCCAGACTTCCTCTACCCCCCACATACGAGTCTTATTTGTTGTATCTACATGTACTACTTTAGGTTTCACTTGTAACCAGGCATTATGCCCTGTGTATTTTGCTCTTATGATAAATTGATGGCAAGGTTCCTTATTTGTAGATCACGTTGGATGAAAGGATCTGCTAAATGACTAAATGTACTGGAGGGTCCCAACCTGAGTTGCATGCCTGTGGACGACTACAGGGACCCCTGAACCCATTGTTTCTTCATGGTCACGTATATCACAATTAAGGATTTTGTCACAACCACCAACAAAGTGCACTGTTGGGCCCCATCCTCCATCCTCCCTTTTTTTATTCCTCATGTATTTTAATTATGTTTGACTGTAACATCAAAGTCAGTGCTTTTAATCATATATTGTTTTTTAACTGTATATGTATTGTGTACAACTATTTTACTATTCTAAATAATTACCTGTGTCAATTTTAATTCCAATTGTTTTCCATTTTATTATTTTGTTGCTGAAGTGTAGCCTCAAACTTATAGTTGAGTTAGTGAACATTCTGAGATCATGTGTTTTATAAATCTGTCTCCCATTATTCATCAAATCAAACTTCTCAAATTGATTAATTCATTAAATGTTTTTGTTTTCCCTACAGGTCACCTACTCTTGGTTTTTCTGAAAAATGGACTGTATGCCTCAAGCACTGCATGCAAAATCAATCTAAACTGAAAGACCTTGAGCTTCGCCTAAATGAAAGATGTGACCCCACAGAAATCCCATTTAGAGCAGGTTATGCCCTGCCTAAGAAGACGTAATCCAGCGGTTGATAACCAATCAGCAGCCATGTCATGCAAGACTTTCTCTAAACGTCGTTATAAACCAGCAGCAGAGTTTGATGATGTCACTCTCGCCCGCAAAAGGGAGTATTGGAGGAGCAAGAAAAGAGAGCAGAGGGCAAGAAAGTCATCTGCCAAAAAAAAGATCAGAAATGAAAATCTGGGGTTGTGCATGTCCTCTGTTAGTGATGAACCCTCCTTGCAGATTCACAAAGTCGACAATGATCCCACTCTACATAATCATGAACTTGGAGATACTGATGCTCCTAGAAACTCTTCCAGCTCAGGTCTATCGGAATCTGAGTGTAATGCTACTATGGTGCCATGCCAAAAAGAGAAATGGTTTGAAAAGACTAAGCTCACACATGTCTTACCTAAATTCCCAGAAACAAGCACAAATTCCCTGAAGGGTGTAATGGGCAATACAAAAATAAAGTCCTCAGTTACAGCGTCATCAAACACAGATGCTAAAACAGTTGAGTCTCTCTGTCCAATAGGCTACTCAGGGTCTACAACATGCATCGAGCTACATCCAAACAGCATTCGTACTCAAAAAACTAAAACAAGCATGATATCTCTTAATGGTAAACAATTAGCAGCATCTCCACAAAGCCATTTACCCATGGTTTTACCAGTGCACAACAACCAAAATAAGCCTCAGAACTGTCTCAGACCCTTGACCTCTGCAGAATGTAAGGTTCTTAAAGAGCAGAGTTGCGTTCGCAGTCACATCTCTAGGAGAAGAACATGTGCCTTTGCTTCAAAGCACAACACCAGAGTGGCTATGACTGAAGAAGAGATAGCTGCTAAGCGTAGAGAGAACTGGCGCATCAAAAAGCGAGAACAGAGAGCAAAGCGTGCTGCAAAGCTGGCACGGGACAGAGAAAGGAGTCTCGGACAAAGACAATCTTCATGTATCGTGAATGTTTCGTCTCCTGCTAACAGTATGGCCTTGAGAGGAATCAACCTCAACTCAGTGAATCCCAAATGCTTCAATCAACAGTCATTTGGAGCTAAATTTAATGGTTCTCGGACACAACTACATGTTCAGGACACAAAACCAAACCATACAGCTTCATCCTCTGGTATTTTGCAACCATCCTCGAGTACTACCCAAGCTCCCAACAACTCCAAAGTGCCCCATTTTGTACATACTCAAAAGAGAATTTGTCAAAAGCCAACAAGGAACTCTTTCTTTGGCGCTTCCAAAGTCGAGTCTCCCGAGGATCGGCACGCCAGACAGAAGGAGTACTGGCGAATTAAAAAGCGTGAGCAGAGAGCAAGGCTGTCTACAGCGATGAAGGCACGATTGAAGGAACAAGGTGCACTTAAGCATCATGGAAGACGCTGCCACAACAGTTTCAATCAGTTGCGTGGGGCTCAAGTGAGCAGAGCAGGTGCATTTGCCAGTTCCTCTGGCACAATTGGTGGTTTTATCCAAGAAGATGGCACTATGACGGTCTCCACTTTGAAGACAACATCGGAGTCTTCTCTACCTGTAAGTCACGACTTTTCTAATGCGAAATGCATCGGAAAGGTAAGACTCCAAGTTCAAGTAAGTTCGCCCCGATATTCAGATGCTCATCCAGTCACAAAGCTAGTTTCCACTCCATGCAATGTTTCCAGGGCTAATCAAAACTCTCTGGTAAAGTCTAGCTTAGACAGAGGTGCAGTTATGGGTAGTATGACAGTCACCATTCAGTCCGAAACAGAAGAAGAAAGGATCGCTCGTTTGAGGGAGTACTGGAGGATAAAGAAACGAGAGCAAAGGGCTAGTCGGGCTGCCCGGCTAGGAAATGGTCTGCTTAGGTCGAAGGTTTCGGTGTTAAAGCAGAGAGAGCACAACAAGAAGTCCAACAAAAGGGACAGTATTACTTCATCCATTACCAAAACAGTTTGTGACTCTTCAACCAGTGCCCTAACCCCCAAAAAAGAACACATCAGTCCTCCTATACACGGTGTATTTTCCATCCCAGAAATTTCTCCCTGTGTCAAAGATGGCAAAACGTCACCCTGTCCATCCTTAGAGTCACACATTGGACCTCCAGCAGCTGCGAACCATCATGCCACCACTCTTCAGGCTGTGGCCTCCATGAAAAAGCTTCTGGAGGAATCAGTTTGCACACCGGAAGACAATAATGCCACTGAAATGCATATTAAGTGTGAAAATGAGCCTCTTCGGCTAAATGAAGATGACCTTCTTAAAACTGAAAATGCAAAGCCAAATATTTATTTACAACAAAACGTCGTATTTGAGTGTGACGTCTCAGAGGATGCAAGCCTTACAGATATCAAATTGAGTCCTCAACCATTAACCTTACAGGAGACTAGCCATCAAATGTCTTATAACTTCTGCCAAGGCGCTGCAGATGGAAGTCATGCCCTTTCTCTAGTGGCTGTGCAACCTCAGTGCAGAAACACCCAGACGTTCAGTGATGATGGAGCAGATCCCAAGCAGTCCTACCTTTCACAGGCCTCGCAAAATCAGAAGCTTGGTGAGAGCGATGAGCTTCAACGAAAGCGAGAGTATTGGAGGTTAATGAAGAGACAACAGCGGGCCAGAAAAGCCAACAAAGATGCAGCCAAAAATGCAGTTCTTCGCAAACTGGCTCCACAGGTGAGTTGCATTGATGTTTGCTTAGCATTGATGTCAGGTCTGGGTCAAGTGAGGCCATAATGGTTACATTTACCAATTGTTTTAGTTATTTTAAGGAATAAACACGGGGGACAAATATCTCATTATTTGTCAACCAATATTGGTTGACAAATAATGAGATCATTTAATTAAATTTGTCTACTGTGATACTATCGACCAAAATGCATCTTAATACCAAGTGTAAATATTTCGTTGAAAGCTGTATGTGTTTGATTCACTAACAAGAACTGACTCATTAGAATCATTTCTGAAATCAAACAACACTCCTTTTACAGACTCCCAAGAAAAAAACACCTAGCACAACTCCACTGCTAGCCATGTCCCAGGACACTTCCACATGCAGACAGATCCCCATTCAGAAGTCAAGAAGAAGGTGCACCAAATCTGCAGGTCCACAGACACAGCCTACAGATAAATCAAGAACTCACAGAAGCCAGATAGTGGTAAAACCAAATCCACAAAATGATCCACAGGAGGTTATACGTAGAAGACGCATGCAATGGAGGATCAAGAAACAGGAGCAGAGAGCAAGAAAGGCAGCAAATGTAAGAAAGCTTCGGAAGGCAAAACTCCCTCCACAAGGCCAGGCATCGGTAATAGAATTACATTTTTATAGATTTATTTGATCTTATTTATATACAGTACCATTCAAAAGATTGCGGTCAGTAAGATTTGTTTTTAAAGAAATTCATGCTTTTATGCAGCAAGGATGCATTAAATGGATCAAAATGTCACAGTAAAGACATTAATAATGTTACCAAAGATTTGTACACTCACCTAAAGGATTATTAGGAACACCTGTTCAATTTCTCATTAATGCAATTATCTAATCAACCAATCACATGGCAGTTGCTTCAATGCATTTAGGGGTGTGGTCCTGGTCAAGACAATCTCCTGAACTCCAAACTGAATGTCAGAATGGGAAAGAAAGGTGATTTAAGCAATTTTAAACGTGGCATGGTTGTTGGTGCCAGACGGGCCGGTAAGAGTATTTCACAATCTGCTCAGTTACTGGGATTTTCACGCACAACCATTTCTAGGGTTTACAAAGAATGGTGTGAAAAGGGAAAAACATCCAGTATGCGCCAGTCCTGTGGGCAAAAATGCCTTGTTGATGCTAGAGGTCAGAGGAGAATGGGCCGAATGATTCAAGCTGATAGAAGAGCAACTTTGACTGAAATAACCACTCGTTACAACCGAGGTATGCAGCAAAGCATTTGTGAAGCCACAACACGCACAACCTTGAGGCGGATGGGCTACAACAGCAGAAGACCCCACCGGGTACCACTCATCTCCACTACAAATAGGAGAAAGAGGGTACAATTTGCAAGAGCTCACCAAAATTGGACAGTTGAAGACTGGAAAAATGTTGCCTGGTCTGATGAGTCTCGATTTCTGTTGAGACATTCAGATGGTAGAGTCAGAATTTGGCGTAAACAGAATGAGAACATGGATCCATCATGCCTTGTTACCACTGTGCAGGCTGGTGGTGGTGGTGTATTGGTGTGGGGGATGTTTTCTTGGCACACTTTAGGCCCCTTAGTGCCAATCGGGCATCGTTTAAATGCCACGGCCTACCTGAGCATTGTTTCTGACCATGTCCATCCCTTTATGGCCACCATGTACCCATCCTCTGATGGCTACTTCCAGTAGGATAATACACCATGTCACAAAGCTCGAATCATTTCAAATTGGTTTCTTGAATATGACAATGAGTTCACTGTACTAAAATGGCCCCCACAGTCACCAGATCTTAACCCAATAGAGCATCTTAGGGATGTGGTGGAACGGGAGCTTCATGCCCTGGATGTGCATCCCACAAATCTCCATCAACTGCAAGATGCTATCCTATCAATATGGGCCAACATTTCTAAAGAATGCTTTCAGCACCTTGTTGAATCAATGCCACGTAGAATTAAGGCAGTTCTGAAGGCGAAAGGGGGTCAAACACAGAATTAGTATGGTGTTTCTAATAATCCTTTAGGTGAGTGTATATAAAATAAAGGCTGTTCCTTTTGTTCTGTTCATCAAAGAATCCTAAAAAAAAAATATAATTGTTTCCATAAAAATATTAAGTAGCACAACTCTTTTCAACATTGATAATTATAAGAAATGTTTCTTAAGGAGCAAATTGGAATATTATAATAACTTCTTAAGGATCATGTGACACTGAAGACTGGAGTAATGATGCTGAAAATACAGCAGTGTGAGTTTACACTGACATCCAAACATCACAGTATACCAAAACCCTCTAATAATAACACTGCATGCTTTATGTCCCCTGGGAGCCCAGGCTATATCTCAGCACCAGGATTTCACTGACACGTGGGGGTAGGCTTTTTTGAATGTGAGCAGTGTTCACAGGGCCCCATGTCGGGCCCCAGCCATACCTCAGCACCAGAATATCACAGAAACATTTTGGAGGCATGTTTGGACTTAGGGCCGTGTACAAAGGCCATGTGTGGGGCCCCAGTGCCTCCAGGCATATGTGCTCTGGCTTTACTGTAGAGTCATGGAAAACATAGCAAGTATTTTCAGGACAACATGTTGGTGATGAGTTTTGTAATTGATTAGGAGTAAAATAATACATGGTCTTGTTTTTCTTCAAAATACATATCTGAACTTACCATGCAAAAGGTATGAACACGTACCTCAGTATTGTACGCTTTAGATTACTTTTACTTGAGATAAAGATGGTGAGATACAAGAGTTTTTCTGCCAAGTAACTTGACCTGAATATTTGCAGTGAATGAGGCTCTTTTAAAAAATGTTTGGGCCTCATTACTTACTGTTCCTTCCCCCAGTTCCTCAAATGTTTGTATCCCAGAGGAGCAATTTAAGGGTTAAATTGAACAACTACTGTAGGCTAAAAAAGTGTCTTAAATGGTCTGTGGCAGAAATAACTAGACTTCTAGACTATGTAGCAGTTTAACTTAACCTCACACAAGGCACCAGTTAAATGGCACTAAATATGTTTTGCGTTTTGGTCACACATCACCTAAGGTGTGCATGAGTGTCAAATGACTTTTTCCTTGTTATTGCGGGGCACCAGCCAGTAATGTTACTTTGACAGTGAAGATTATTTATTAACTAGCATCAGCTATATAATGTATGTAAATTAGAAAACCATATACTGATAATGTACAACAATGCCAAGGTCTCTGGAAAGAGGTTTGGTTAAGTGATATTTTACGTTTCACGTGGTCGAGTGAGCACTGGTCGTCTTCCACTGGTTGTTCTGGGTAACAATGCAGTGGGGAAAGGAACTGGAATCTGTTTGAAAAGCCTTGGATGTGAAGCATACGAGGCGCTGAAGTAGGTGCAGAAGGTCCTTAACAATCTGGAACATGCAGACGAAGGTGCCTTGGAGTGAAGGTTTATTTGGCTGACTACAGGTGATGTTTGAAAATTAAGTGACATAATGTTTATTATCCTTACCTTTTTCTTTTAATCTTCCTAGGGTCAGAACACCACCAGTTTCGGATCTGCAGTTGTTCAGAGGTGAGTAGTAGGAAAAAATTATTTGTTTTTAATATGTTGTCTTTTTTACACTACTGTTTAAAAGTTTGAGGTCAGTAAGATGATATATATATGTTGGTTTTGAAAGAAGTCTCTTATGCTCACCAAGACTGCATTTATCTTATCAAAAATAAGATTATTTAAAATAATTAAAAATAATAATGTTGGTTTTCTTTTTCCAACAGCATAGCATCAGAAGACCAACTAGGCTACTTAGCTGAGCCATGTCAAACTGCACTCAAAGGTTTTTAAAATTAATTTTCTAATACACACCATTAGTTTGCCAAACAGTTTAAATGATTATCTGGTAACTGCTATTACTATATCTTTTACCACATTTAAGAGGAGTCAAGCGTTGCACCAAACCATGCAATGGAAGGACCTTTATCACAGGCCGAGTGGAGAAACATCTACCTCATGGACTCTGATCCTGTCAACCCGTTGTTGGTGTGTATGGTTTGTGGAGAGCAGCAGTACTCCCTCAGTTTGGACGGGGCGAAGACTCACATTGAGGAGGTGCATCCTAATACACTATCATTGGGAGAACTTGAACGTCAAGGCATTCTGGATGCCTGGGATAAACAGGTGGCTGTCCGCGAGCACTTCATCACACACCAGCTTCAACAGCGATGCTGAGGTCCTACATGTAACAGGGAGATCTACATTCAGTCTGGCTTAGGAAATAAGTAATAATTCATTTTATGATTAATTCTGCCCGGAACCTGAGATGAGTCACGGAATGGCTGATTTATTTATTATTATGGGTATTACTTTTGTTAAACACATACCAATTGTACACTAAATACATACTATATTGATCAACTGAGACCTAACTTTAAATATTTTTCTCCTGCCTTATTGATCTTCCTGATTATGTTTTCTTACGAATTGTAAGTACTATCAGTTTTGTTATAATCATGTAGTAGATTAATATCTTTTTTAGTGATGGGAGGATATTGAAATGTTGATTCTACCCTTTTCTTGCTGATGTGGTACTGAGCCTCATTAAATGTACTTTTTAATTCTGGTAATATTCAGAACCTTGCAGGACCTGTAAATGAGGTTACAAAATAAGATATGTAAAAACATTCTCACATGCACAAACAAATGAAATGTAGATATCTTAAGAATTGCATTTTGACCATGTGTTTTCAGTATCTGTACAGATTGTGCATTTTTTAAAAATGTTATTTTCTTTTTGTAATAAAATGTTGCACTGCATAATGTATATATTATTTTGATATCTTTTTTTTATTCTTCATTCATTTACCCTTTTTTGCCTTTCCACGATGTTCTTTTTTTTTTATCTTAAGAATTTCTGTCTGAATAGGGTATTGATTGTTCTTCCCCATGACAGTTTTTAAATGTACAATCAAATGTAATTTATGTTGAACATATCTATACACATAGAAAACAGGTTTGAAAAAAAGCACAAGGATTAGAATCATCAAAGGTCATATAGTTCAACAAACAGTTTGTTAGTCTTCTTTACAATCTAAGCCAAGGACAAGTAACATTTTTAATAAATTCTGCTTCCCTCTTCAGTGCGCATCTGTTGTACCTAATAAGTCATTTTGCACCTTTTGTTTGCAATTTAAAATGTGTTAATTAGCTTAGCATGCCCTTCATATGCACCTTTTTATGACCGAGATGATACTGAATATTGCAGTGATTACTTAGAAGTTTGGCTAAAAATATAGGTCTACTTTTCTTAGAATAGTAAAACTAGAATTGTTCTGAACACTAATACTTAATTTAAAATGAGCACTAAAAAACTGAAATTATATTATATAAAAAAATGCACATAAAATCAAATCATTGGAGAAATGTTTCTTTTATTACACTGCCAGATCAGGTCATGACGCATTTACACTTAAACATCATAAAACAACTTTGCATAATGTTGACAGATCTCAATTCAAAAATAGTGTGGACCTGGTAAAACATCATTCAGTACATGGTAACTAAATTAAATCATTTTAGATTCATGTAATGCTACCACACTCTAGTATATCTCAATTGAGGTCTTAATAAAATGCATGGCATGGCATTGTGAAACAACTCTCACTGGTTCACTCTTTGTGAGCGCTGTGGTTCATCTTCAATAATTTGATCTATTTCAACCTCTTGTTCAGGGGTTTGCTGAGCATCTGACGAGGTTTGCAGTTCTCGAGGTCCAGTTTCCAAGCGGAACACAGTGGGGATCTGGCCCAATATGGGACAGGTCTCCTGTAGACCAGAAATCCACTGAGACAGAGTGGCTTGGTCACCCTGACCGGTCATACACATGGCGTAAACCAGCCCCTCTTCCACTGCAGGATCAAATGAACAGAAATCATTGTGTATAATTGGTGATATGCAAATCACTTCATTCAACTCGGCTTGAATGAAGTGACAATGCAATGTGTGTCTCACCTTCATCCACATTGAAACTCTCGTCATCACCAATGTCTCTTTCCAGGTCGAGTTCCACTCGCTGAGGATAGAAGAGACTCTGCTCCGGACCAATCAGCTCGGGGTCAATGTCTTCCTCAACCTACAAGAAAATCAGATGCTAATACATAATCCAGAATGTAAATGAATTCTTAATTTTATTGTTGTATTCTTTTAAGGATTATGTATTTAAGAGGCCATATTATGCCCTTTTACAAAGTCTTGATTTTGTTTTTGGGATCTACTAGAATAGGTTTTCATTCTTAAAAAACACATTATTTATTACATATTTGAAATTGTTGCAGCACCTCTCTTCCCAGTCTCCCAGTAACGCTCTGTTTAGATCCTGTCTCTATGAAGCCCCTCCTTCTGAAAAGCGCAATTTGCTCTGATTGGTCAGCTGGACAAGTGTGTTGTGATTGGTCAACTGCTTTGATCATGTTTCAGAAATGTCACCCACCTTACCATAACCACGAGTTTTTACACACTACTAACGCGACTCAACCAGCCCTTTACTTCACGTGGGAATTAGGGGCCGTTTGCATGACACCGTTTTCATCTAAAAACGGAAAACTTTTTATGTGTTTTGGTCATTCATGTACACAACACCAGCGTTTTAGGGGCCTATAAACGCAAACTTTTGAAATTGGGTTTCAAAGTGCAAGTTTTTGAAAATTATACCTTTATCGTCTCCGTTTAAAACAACAAAAATGTGAATTTGTGAAAACGGTGACGTCATGCGGATACGTATTATGTGTTCACTCCATAGGCGCGTAGTGTTTCTTTAACAAAGTGACATCGCCAACTACTGGCCTGGCATGCATGATGCAGCAGTTTCGCAGATCTGTGTGAACGGGGAACGTTTTGTTTTGTTGGAAGTTTTTGAAATTTTCAGTGCGTGTCTGTGTGAGCTGCTAACACACGAGCTCTTGAAGCTCCGCCCTCTGTGCCGGGAGCAGCAGCTCATTTGCATTTAAAGGGACAGACACAAAAACAGTACGTTTTTGCTCACCCTCAAAAAGTGACAATTTTAACATGCTATATAAAAATATATGTGGGGTATTTTGAGCTATAACTTCACATACACACTCTGGGGACATAAAAGACTTATTTTACATCTTGTGAAAAGGGCATTATACCACCTCTTTAAAGAAATTGATAAATGGGGCCCGATTTTCACCCACTGTGGTCCCACAAGAAAAATATAATTGGGCCATTAGAGGGTCCAGTGTGATCAGCCATGTGGGCCCCATAAGGGTTTTGTGTGTAGCCCACCTTGGTACCATTATTAGCACCCATTTGGGACCCAAGTGAGCTCATATAATGAACCTCCAAATAGGCCCCAATTAGAGCAGACTATGGGCCCATCATGTGCCCCATGGGATAACATACATAGGGCCACATTTCCCTGGGCCCAAATGACAGCCCATCAAAAATCCTCATGGAAATGTTGGCTGGGTTGTAACTTTGCAGAGCTTTTCATTCTCAAACAGCAACAGTGCACAGTAAAGAAAGTTGAAAATGAAAAAAAAAAGCATAATAAGTCCTCTTTAAGGAAATTCTTTAAATGCCATCATTAGCCCAGTTATAGTACCTTTTCCTCAGGTGGTATAGGGTCTGCCCTAAGTAGGAAATAATGAACACAAGTCTTCCTGAGCCACAGTGGAAATGGGCCTTCCACATACACAGGCCTGCAGGGATTGTGTTTAGCCAGAAGAGAGCGCTGGTCTGGACTTTGAATACCTAATAACAAGCAAAAAACAATGGGCTTGGTTTTGTGTGCAATTTCCATTAAAAAAATTGATGTCCAGTCACTTGTTTTACACTTTGAATTCAAAATAGAAATATTTCTTATAAAAGCATTACATTTGGTTCTTAGCACAGTGATACTTTAATACTGCACGTCAAATACAAGTTTGACCGCATCAAGAACGCCAAACATGCAAGTGTAAAGTTCTTACTATTTTCGTATAGTTCTTTATCTTAATAAAGATGACATGCATTTAACCCAGAATATTTCTTAAATAAAGTTGAAGTTCAATTATCACTAATGGTAAGAGCTACATACCTAGAATATGGGGACGTGTGACTTCTTGTCCTGTCTCTGTGATGTCTGTTGATGGATACTACAAAGAATGAAATAAAGCACATTTATCAGACTGAAAAGCCTTTATTTCCAGAAAATGTTCAAACATACACTACCGTTGAAAAGTTTGGGTCAGTTTTGTTTTTAAAAACATTAATACTTTTATTCAGCAAGAACACATTATATTGATCAAAAATTACAGTACAGGCATTTATAACGTTACTTAATCCTAAAAAAGTATGACAGTTTCCACAAAATTATTAATGTTTTCAATATTGATATTAATAAGAAACATTGGTAACAGTTTACAATAAGGTTCCAGTTGTTAACATTATTTCACTACAATAGTTCTGTCGTTCTGTTCAGGATAAATTCTGTCGTCATTCACACACCCTCAAGTCGTTTCAAACCTGTATGAGTTTCTAACTTCTGTTGAACAGTGAACACAAAAGAAGATATTTTGAAGAATGTTGGTAACCAAACTATTGACGGTAGCCATTGACTTCCATATTAGGAAAAAACTATAATGGAAGTCAATGGATGCTGTCAACTGTCTTGTAAGTTATTTAAAATACATTCTTTTGTGTTCAGCAGAAGAAATAAACTCATACAGGTTTGGAACAACTTAATTTTCATTTCAAAATTTACTAGTACATTATTGAAATCAAAAGTTGTATCTGTGAATATTATTAAATGGACCTGCGATAACGAGCTAACAAAGATGTATTTATAACTAACATTAACTACGATTAATAAATGGGGTAAAATTGGAACCAAATAGAACCTTATTGTAAAGAACAAAAATGATCCTTAAGCATCAAATCATCACATTAGAATGATTTCTGAAGGATCATGTGACACTGAAGACTGGAGTAATGATGCTGAAAATTCAGCTTTGATCACAGGAATAAATTAAATTTTCAAATGTTATATAATAGAAAACAGTTGTTATGAATTGTAATAATATTTAAAAATCAAATTGAGCATAAGAGACTTCTTTGAAAAACATTAAACAATTTTACAGACCACAAACTTCTGAACAAGTTCTGCTTGTGTGATGCAATGGTAACTAAGGTCTTTATGACAGCTAAAAGCAGTAAATTAAAGGATCACCTGATAGATTGTTACTTTAGCATCCGGGTCATCTGCAATCCGGGTAAGACTGAATCGAGCGAGTTCCACTGGGTCACTGGAGAGCACGTGTGGGACGGGGAAGGGGTTTGTGTGCTTGAATCTGGGAAACCAGTACATGATACGCTGGTACTTCCTCATGGGATGACTCTTTTCCCCGAATATCTGAGCCAATAAAACCTTGGTCTCTACATTGGGTATGATACCTGTTCAAATTAAGAAGGAAATCATTAAAGCAATGCACCAGTTTCGCTTTCTCTCTTACAAAAACACAGACACACACCATAATTCTCCATCTGCTCCAGCAGCTGTACTCCACACTCTTGCTGTCGCGGGTAGTGGTTGAACATCCTCTGTATGAAGTTCTGTGGCACAAACACCTCTTTCGGAAACACGTCTAGGAGTCTGTTGTAAACGGCGATGTCTCGTTCTACTCCAAATTCTGGCATCTTCTTCAGGGCAGCGTAAATAAACTCCACATGTCCTCTTCGCCGAATGTCCGCCTTGTTGAAAACATCCACGACCCTGTTAAAATCAGCCTTGGTCTTTGAGTCTTTAGTAGCTCGCTCAAATAAATCATCATGTGTGATCAAAGTTTTTTCTTTATGCTGCGTTGAATGTTCAACTGCCTTTTCAAACTCTGGCTGGTTTGGACGACCCGTGGAACAAACTGCACTGCAATGGAATGACCTCAAAAACTTGGAGGGGAAAAAAAGGACAGAAGAACACAGGCATTAATGCAGGTGCCCACAGACCATAAAGCAGCATTATTCAGAGGCAAGCAGATACCTGGCCACTGCTGTGCTGCGATCCAGGGGTTTGCAGATGTGCTCCACCAGTCAGGATCACTCGTTGTACAGGCGTCCCCAGAAACCGTGCAACGCACCCAATGCACTGGATCCGAAACAGATGACGAGGAGCGTTCATGATTATGACATCACAAACCACAGCAGATGAATTACAAATGTACTGAAATTAACCTAGAAAGGAAACAACATACACAAGCATCACTATCAGAGTATTAATATACATTTTAAATGTAATCATTTATCCATTTATGTCTATATTATCTTAGAGAAATTAGTACATTTATAATACAATAATAATAATACATTATCATCTATCTATCTATCTATCTATCTATCTATCTATCTATCTATCTATCTATCTATCTATCTATCTATCTATCTATCTATATGCCCATTAATCTTAGGTTAACTAGTAATTATATAATGCAAAAACAATCATATTATTGTGCATCTGTCTGTCTATCTATTTAACTATTTGTCAGTCTATCTATCTATCTGTCCGTACATTAATCTTAGGTTTAATAAGTAATTATATAATGCATAAATTATCACATTATTGTGCATCTATCTATCTATCTATCTATCTATCTATCTATCTATCTATCTATCTATCTATCTATATGTCTGTCTATCTATTTGTCTATCTATCTATCTATCTATCGTTATATGTCTGTCTATCTATTTGTCTATCTATTTGTCTATCTATCTATCTATCTATCTATCTATCTATCTATCTATCTATCTATCTATCTATCTATCTATCTATCTATCTATCTATCTGTCTGTCTGTCTGTCTGTCTGTCTGTCTGTCTGTCTCAGAGAAATATAATTATAGCCTTTTGAAGTAATTATATAATTTAAATCATATTATTGTGACATTTACAACTGACTTTTTCTATAAATGTAATTAGCCTATACAATAAAACAATGAAATGGCAAGGAAACGCTAAATACTACTTTATCAATACTCACGGTCACTAAATCCACTCAGATTTCATTCTGCTGTCAAGTCTCCTTCAAACAAACACGCACCGGCTGGTTTCCTGGTGCGTCGTCGTTCAACTCCCCTCCCCTGAAACATCACGAAGAACGTTCCACTCCCATTGGTTCCGTGTTATTCTTATTCACGCAATCAGCACTAGATGGCAGACCGGTATTGGGTGGAAACTAGATGAAGCTGTCAAAGTTATGTTTTTACTTTTTCTTTAACCGGGGTTTGGTAGAGGGGAAAACTGTACAGCAACGAAGTAGCGAGACTTATTTCAGTTTCGCTTCGTGCAGTTAGAAGCATACATTTAGGAATCTCACGGCCTCAATCAACTTCACATGGACGCGGTTCCTGGCGTAAGTTAAACCCAGCCCGCGAGATCGTGCACTTGCCTCATGCGACAGATACACTCTCTGCTCATTTCCTGGATTCGTGATTTCACAGTTACGACAACTTCTGCAATCTTCAGTGGCTCCTCCACGCGAGTGTTGGTGTGCTGAGTGTCCCGCAAGCTCTTGGCGATGCTGTTGACAGCATTTATAGAGACATGCATTGCTTTTCTGCCAATGGATACTAGTTTAATCCAATATTTGCGAGATCTTTAAGGAGTGTTTAACTCAGACATGGATGGATCAACGAATAGCCTTGGTGAGTTTCTTATCTTTATGTCTATAACATTTAAATATAAACGATAAACAGAGTTTATTGTTGTAGGACCAACTAAAAAACGCTTTGGAAACAACATTTCTGAGTTCACATTTGTAATCATGCCAATATGCTATCAGTATTTACAAATGTGAAGTTGGTTTACTGTCAAAACATTTAAAACTGATTTTTGGGGGGGGTGTGTGTGATAAATGCAGGGTGTGAGTAAAAAACTGACACTATCAGACTTCCCTCGTAAAATTATAATTCCACGGTAACCAGTCTTCGACAACTTTAGGCGATATTATTTAATGGTAAAACAAGCCTAAACTGGTTTTATGGTCCCAGTTGATCTGCTAGCCTGGCTAGGCAAGCTGGTTTGAAAAAGTGCACAAAACCACCCTAAAACCAGACAACAAGAGGCCTGGTCTGCCTGAGAGACCAATAGACTGTTTAAGAACACTGGCAATAAAAAGAAATTAAACTTAGATTTAAGATTTAAAAGATGTAAGAGAAATTATGACATCTTCTAACACTGAAGGTCCCATATTCATTTATTATTCTTTTTAAGTAACACAAGCAGTAGAAACTGTTTTTTGTAGTCAACTCTGTTTACCATAGTCAATTTCTGGAATTTCACTCAGAAGTTTTTATGTTAGTTCTGGGAATATTGTTATATGCAGCCATTTGTGTACTATTGGATATAAAACTAATTCAAAATCTATTGTTCTATACATTTTCCAAGCATGTTTTAGTTTGAATGTCATTCAGTCTTTAATGACACTGACACAACAACAATGGCTGCTGTTCATTGCGTCATTTTTGTCAAACAAACTCAAGCCAAGTCTCGCTTCCTCTGTTGGGCTTCATGGTTATCTCATCAAACTGTCTCCTTCCCAACTTTCAATGTTTCTGACACTCTATGGCAAGCCGTTTTTACAGTTAATTGTTAACACTGAATAGTATAATTTTTATGATTGGCTTTTATAAATCAATCAATTAGGGTTTATAAGTAATCCAAAGCTCTTAACTCTTCATTAGCTACTATCCCTTATATACTAGTAATTTTTCCCAGTAGAGACTAGTATCTTTTCAATTAGCCACTACTAAGTAGTTTTTCATTACATAATACATACTAGTGTTTATTATTTAGCAAATAGTCACTTTCCAAATAGCGACAACTATTCAACTTGCTGCTGGTATTTATTACAGTTTTACTAGAACTTATTTATTAGATACTAGTACCTCTTTATGAGACCCTGTTATCTATCCCAGTATTGCTAGTAACATTTCAGTAACACTTTATTTTACAGTGTCCTTTTACACATTACATGTAGTTGCTGTAGTAGTAAATTATGCATATTACATGCAACTAACCCTAAACCAACCCCTATTCCTAACCCTAACCCTATAGTAAGTATGTAGTTAATTATTTTTACTCAATACTTAAATGTATAATTACACTGTAACAGACACCTTAAAATAAAGTGTAACATTTGTGTAACATTTCTTACCTCACTAGTTACAGTTTTTTCTAGTCATATGTGGAACAAATAACAACTTCAAAATTAATTTGAAAACTTTTCTTGTAAGATCCAATATGCTTCTAACAACTGGAATATACTAGTGTCCGTTCAACTGCTACAAGGAGTTGGAAAACTGGAATAAATACTAAAATAAACTGTAAAAATTTAAAAAGATACCAGGATTACTTACCAGTATTTTAAAAACTAATATTATTTCCATAATTCATTCATTCAATTCAATTTTGAAAGCACATTTTAAAACGAAAGATGTTGAAACCGAGGTGCTGTTCAAGAAATATAAAACAGAATTAAAACAGTTTTTTTTTTTTTTTAAGAAAAATGTATACTCTCAATTAAAACATAAAGAATACAAATAGTTCTCCAAAGAAGATTTAAACATGGAAACGGAAGAGTAACTTAAATCATGAACTAGGAACTGGGAGTAATAACTAACTGGATTATCGAAGGGATCTAGAAAAAACAGTGTAAGGGGTAAAAGAACATAACAAAAATACCGAGGAGGAGCAAGTCCATTCAAAGCTTTAAAAACAAAAAGCAACATTTTTAAATCAACTTAACCGGTACCCAGTGAAGACAAGAAAGCACAGGTGTGTTGTGCTCACGTTTTTTAGTGCCTGTCAGTAGATTATTCGCATTTTGTACCAATTGCGAATAATCTACGGCTGTTTTAGGCAAACCCAGATAGAGCGAATTACAATAGTCCAACCTAAATGTTATAAAAGCATGAATGACAGTTTCAAGATCCTTCAGCACTAATCTGCTTATCAAACCACAGTGTGGAATCAAAAATGACCCCAAGGTTTTTTTTTTACATTGTTGCGCACATTAGAAGAGAGGGACCAAGCTGACTGACAATGTCAGAAGACAGAGTTATTGGGCCAAATGCGATTATTTCGGCTGAACTTTCTTCGTCACCTTGGACCTCCGTAACCTCAATAGGGCTATTGAGTCCAAGGTAGCAGTTACCGTTAAAAAATATCAACCAATTCATCAGGATAGACACAGGAGGAGAGGGCGTTTGGGGTTTGGGTAGATATATACACATCATTGGCAGTAGAGGAATTAAAACATCTAGAAAAACGCAGTGAATGATAAGATTTGGGGAGTCAAAAAACCACATCAGAAATAGCAGCATCACACATTTTAAGATTAGTCACTGAAAAACCAAGAGAAAACAAGTCCAAGGTGTGACCCTTCTGGTGTGTGGGTCCAGAAACAAATTGTACAAAGTTAAGTGAGTCCATAAGACATGATAAAAAAAAACTATTTTAAATAGTAAAGGTTTAAACTGCTTGCCATAGCTTGCTTGGTTTGGTAATAATGGGGGTGTTGTAGTTTGTGATCGCTTGCAGTGTAGGTTTTCCACATTGAATGGGTGTCTGTAACAGTGACACCACATGTGCTTTTGTTTTGTTTATTGTCTGGTAACATGCTGGGCCAGTGGAGAGCAGTAAATATCATGGCGGAAGCCCTCTGGCATCATGCTTTTACCACAGATGCTTAATTTTCCCCAGCTTGTCTTTCTGTGTCAATGTCTGGATCTTGTCAGAAGAGATGATTGCCAAAATATCAGATAATTGGTTGGTACAACTGCAGTGATTGACAAGTTGACATGGTCTCAAAGTGTTCTGCTTTGTCCGAAAATTTGTTTTAAAAGTGTTACAGTGGAAGCAGTTTTTGTTTGGTAGTTTGTAAATGCATTGATTTTAGGTTTTACATTTTAGATGAGATACGAGAAATGGAGATGTCAAAATAAGGTTTCTTTGATCTTAAAAGCATTTTGAAACTCTATCTTGGTTGTGTAATGTGTACAGAGTTTGGAAGATATCAAATGCATGAGTTGCACGTGTTTAATCCTGGAATTTTGGTTGAGACATAAGTGTTTCTTTCATAACTCACTTGACTGAACAGAAACAGATCTGAAAAGGTTTGGACGAAAGAATTTCGAATGGAACATTTTGGATCGTATCAATCTCTCTCATTTGTTTCTGTTTATCCTGTAGAGTCAAATAAACGGAACTGGCGAAATTGTTTGGTGAAACACTACAAAACCTCCCAGCTAGTTTCTTCAAATAAGCCATGAAGGTTTTTGTATCAAGTTTTGTCTTGTTCTTTGTCTTATTGTGGGAGGTGAGAATTTGTGAGTAAGAATGAAGATGCAGGGGCGGACAGTGGCGTACAGGAAGTTTTGCCGTCGCCATAAGAGGTGTAATGCGACGCTGACAGGAAAGAGAGCAGCGACAGGTGGGCGGACTGAAGTGGAGAAGTACCACACGGGGCTTATGATATGATATTTTCATGTATTATACCATGGCTCAAAGTGAAAACAGATGTACTAATATTAGATTCTGTCTGTGGAAGTCCAGATTTTTTAATGGTTTGTTTAAATTGTTGCAAAATCAGTTACTGCAATTGGTCGATACCAAATGATTCACAGGGTTGGTTCTGTTTTGTATGGAGCGTATGGTTTTGTAAACCACGCTTGAAATACAGTCGCTTATGAGTGTTTAATTTATTTTTAGCGTTTCATTTATTTTAATATCTTTGTTTTATTTGGGCTTGCAGATTCTGCATGTTATTTTGCTTCAGGATCGCAGTTACTCTGAGCTGTTTGAATTGTTTTTCAGATTGTAAGTTATTTGTTTTTGTTTCTTTGTGTGTGTGTTTTTTTTTTTTTTTTTTTTACATTTCAGACTGGAAAACAGTTCAGTAGAATTCAAAACTGCAATCAAGAAATTGTCAGTAAAACATGAACAAGCTAGCCTTTGCACATTATTTTGATATCTCCTTCTGATTGTCATATTTGATAAACAAGTCTGTCAAGACGGCTTGACGTTGACGCACATATACATTCCTGGGCAACAAAAAAAAAAGAAAATATGAACAAGTGCCAAGCCACAAATGGCAAACTTTTTAGTGGTCTTTTGATGGTCTTAACCATTTTAATCCCAAATCACTGGTCAGGAAATTAGCATGAATTGCACAAATACTGTAGATAAAGTAACACGGAAAAGCCTTCCTCAACTTGCAGACAGCTTTTTACAGGAAGAAGAGTCAGTGTTGTTCCCCTCAATGTTAATGGCTTCAAAGAAACAGTTCATAAGTAGTTGAAAAATGTCTCCCAGTTCGTTTGAGTTTAATGTGAGACCAAATTTTCAAATCTGGACTCTGCCCAAGGCCAAAACATGAGCCTGATGGACTTGTTCTCAAGCCACTACTTGGTTGTATTTGCAATTTTTGGCAGGCGCATTGTCTTGTTGAAAAATAACATCTTATCACTCCTCTTTACTATAACAACTTTTCATTTGTGGGAAGCAAGTCATTCTGCAATATTCTCCTGTACTCCAAAGCATTAAATGACTCTTCACAGTGAAGTAGCGCCCCAATACCAGATCAATGACACTCTTCCTCCATAGTAGAGATGCATTTATTATTATATTTCTCAACATGCAGCAA